TATTTACTTTTAAGGTCCAAAAGTGTAAAATTCACTTTGACCACAAAAAAATGTAAGATTTGACGAGTATAGATCTCTATGAAAATAAATTGATGACATCAATGACATTTATCAATCATAGATTTATATATAACGCTTGATAAAACTTTTATAAAATATTTTATAGGTTTATACGATTATTCACATAAATTTATTTTTTTATAATATAACTCTATAATATTTTAATTGTTATAAAAAAATTTTATATAGTTAATATAAATTCATAATGTGTAAGAATATTTTTTTTGTTATTAAAAATATGATTTGAATTCCATTTATGTATATATATTTTTGGATCTACATAATATGAATTAAGACATAAAAATTAATATATAAATTGAACTTTAATGGTTTAAGACTCATGTTTAAATATTTTAAAATAATTTTATAATTTAACGGGTTACTTATTAAAACTTACATTTTAATCTTAAAAATTCTAATCGTGTTTATCCGCGTATCAACGCGGTGCTAATCTAGTAGACTTATAAATGGAAACATTGGTGATAAGAAAATCAAAATAATATCTTTCAGTTTTTTTACATTTGTTTATGTCTCTCGTCAAGCTACAATAATAGAACTAACAGAACAGACGACTAATTGTTTTTCATTAATAATAAGTGTTAATGTATTATTGGTGTTGAGTTTCTGTCTATAAAAGGAAGGGCGAGGCCAAAGTGTTTACATCAGACAAAAGAAACAAAACACTCAACACAGTTGCAAAGAAAACATTCAAAAGCTAATTGATTCATCAAATGGCGATGGCAGGAACATACGTGACGGATGTGCCTCTGAAGGGAAAGGCAGAGAAACACTACAAGAGATGGAGGAGCGAGCACAACCTCTTCCCGGACGCAATCGGTCATCACATCCAAGGAGTCGCCGTCCACGAGGGAGATTGGGACACTCACGGCTCGATTAAGCTCTGGAACTACACTCTTGGTCCGTATTTAATTATACTCTCTTTCTCTATATATTAATGGCTTTGAATGGTTGCGCTATATAGAGCCGAGTGGATGAAACCAATAATACAAATTTTAAATCAGATTTTTGGTACGCTTCATCTGTTCGGCCCAAGCGCAACTATTCATACTCATGATCAAGCTAATCTATCACAAAACTAATTAGCAATGAATAAAATGATTAATTCATTCTTGATGATAAAAAACAAATAAATCTTTGTTGCGTGTGCGATGAAGATGGGAAGGAGGAAATTTTCAAAGAGAGGACAGATATAGACGACGAAAAGATGGTGGTAACGATCAATGGGCTCGAGGGTCACGTGATGGAGGAGCTAAAGGTGTTTGTTACAACCTTCCTGTTCATCCCCACGTCTGAGGAAGGCTGTGTCTGCAAAATTACTATGACGTGGGAGAAGAGCAACGAAGACTCTCCAGAGCCCATCAACTACATGAAGTTCGTGGAGAAGATGGTTGATGACATGGACGAACACATCCTCCAAGACCAGGAATGAGGCATATGCTTAATCGTCGATTATCACATCCTCTTTTATCTATGTGTGTGTTTGATTTGTGTGTTGTTTCCTACGTGATATGAATAATTCCTTATATCTGCATGCAAGGTTGTTGTACATGTCCAAGTCCAAACGTTTATTTGTATGATATTGTTGTTCATTTAATAAGTATCAGCCCACCACAATCTGGTTTGATCCCAAACATACCCGAAAGTAATTGGGTCCTATCCGGTCAAGCATAGTAGTCCATAAAGTATACAACAAGATAAAGTGCAATGTGGTACATATGAGAGATATTTCAATATCGTTGAAGATCGTAGGAAGATAAAGATTGAGAGTGCATGTTGAATATGGAGATTATGACACATAGACCACACGTGTGGATCACTAATACCACTAAATGACTTTGAGGAGCATTTAAAAACCTCAAAAAACCGTCGAAGTTCCACCTACCTTTCTTGTCCGTCACTTTCTCCCAGGTCCTTTCTTTTTACAATCGCTGTGTTTACCCAATTAATATCAATATGTGATACATATAATGAAATTCTGACCAAGTCCAGTCCAGCCTTAACTCAAACATTTATGGCATGGATTAAACCGTCGAATAACTCTCGAAAATCCGTCCCGACCATAGATATAGATTTTGAGATAGTTTTCGCAATTGTTCAAAAAAATTATATAATTAGTACAAAGAAAGGCATATACTTTTTTGCCATTTTTATTAGAGTTCGAACGTTACGTTATTCTGTTGTAACGTAACATATTTTCACTAAAAAACAAACAAGATTTAATTAAAGCTCTACAACGTAACTCAAAGGAATCAAAGATTAAATTTGAGGAAGATATTGTTTTAATTTTTATATATCTAATTAACTAATAAAAATACAATACAGTATATATATTTGATTCTTGATAAAGTCGCATATATATGATGAGTATATAAAGGGAAGGCACTACTTCCGTTTTTGCAACAACCCCAAAAAAAAAAAAAATTGACATACACACTTGACAAGTAATCAAAACCTTTTTAATTGGAAGCTTCATCATTATGGCGACTTCAGGAACATACGTGACAGAGGTTCCTCTTAAAGGGTCTGCGAAGAATCACTACAAGAGATGGAGGAGCGAAAACCACCTCTTCCCGGACGCCATCGGCCACCACATCCAAGGTGTCTCCGTCCACGAAGGCGACTGGGACTCCCACGGAGCCATCAAGACCTGGAACTACACATGCGGTCCCCATTTTACTCTCTTTCTATATATATATACCGAAACGTACCCAGCTAGGGTTTCTTTTTTAATTAGAGGATTGTGTGTATTTAGATGGGAAGAAGGAGGTGTTCAAGGAGAAGAGAGAGTTTGACGACGAGAAGATGACAGTGACGTTTAAAGGGCTTGATGGTCACGTGATGGAGCAACTTAAGGTGTATGACACAATCTTTCAGTTCATCCCCAAGTCTGAGGAAGGTTGTGTCTGCAAAGTCACTATGATGTGGGAGAAACGCTACGAAGACTCTCCAGAGCCCATTAACTACATGAAGTTCGTCAAGAGCTTGGCTGCTGATATGGACGACCACATTCTCAAGGACCAGAACAAGGCTTAATTATCATCGTGACATATTTTGTCCGTCTCTCACATAATCATCCGCCTAGCTCCTTTTCTTTTCTCTATATGTTTGTTTTTGATAATAATGGCGGTCTTGTATGCTTTGTATGTGTATCATATATGTCTATAACATGTTTATAAATAAATCTATAAAAAAAAAACAAGTGATTCCTTCTTGGATCTTCAATCAATTGTAATTTTCATTGCTCTCCAACTTTGTCATCTCTTGTGTAATTAACTTTTGAAATACCCGGACATTGCTTCTTAATTATTTGTTTGATGTTTGCAACACCATGAAGGTGATATGATTGTAGCTTCTCATATTAACGAAGTGGAATAATTATCCCAAACAGAAACAGGTGTTCATGGCAGCGATATGATCAATGTAGCACCTCCACATATGTAGTGTTCAATACTGTTTCCTTATTCTTATCATATTATCATATATCACAGTTCATATCTAAATGAAAGCAATTTTGAGTTAACAAAACAAAATCGATAACTATAACGCAAAGGGATGCAAAGAAAGTGAGGAATAGATGGACATGACGACACATACACCACAGGTGTGAAGCACCAATATCACTATGACGTCGATGATCATTAAATTACGCAAAAAACGCTTCTTCTCTTTTATCGGCATTTATTTTATCCAACTGACTAATTATTGATTATCCAGTTAATAATCTGTTATCTAAAATCAAGCATTTACAAACAACTATCTTCACACGCATTTTTTTTCTTTCTTAATTTTATACTTTTTCTTAATATTAGTTGCTCAAAAGAAGTCTATTGATTTATTAAGGTTGAAACTTGAAAGAACCTTGCTTCGAATCTATTGCTACGTTTGGAGAGAAGTTATTTACGTTTTGTGACTCTGTCATAACTCTTATGAAATTGTGTACAATTTAAAAACAAACAAGATTTAACTAAAACTCAACGATCTAGCTCAAAAGCTTAGTTCAGAAAGAAACGCAATATCTTTGAATTTGAACTAATAAAGCATTCAGATTCAAGATCTAGCTGATAGGGATGGGTATAAGACGGGTACCCTGAAAATTTGGAGTACCCGTTACCCGACTCGATTCTACTGGGTATTTGACAAACAATACCTTTATCCGACCCGCAAAAAGCGAGTACCCTATACAACGGATACCCGGCAAAAATTCGGTTGATCCGCGGCATATCCGATCCTTTACCCTTACCCGCCCAATTGTAACATAGTTTATCTATAATTAAAGTTAGACAACTTGTATACAAAAAAATGAAAGAGTTATTAGGAAAATGAAAAAAAATATCTTAATACACAACATATATTATGTTCA